TCTGTTGTAGCCTACAGAGTTGCTCCTGTGATGTTCATTTCAAATTCTAATCTCACCTTTAAGGCCTTGAATTTTGCTCATGATTTGAGTTACATTTTATAAGTGCTTCAACCAGGCACTGCACCAGCCTCCTAACAGTCCCTGAGCCACGCTGATTGACTGTCTCTCATTCTCTCAATGCAAACCACTTTTGTCTTATCAATGTTTTCTTATGTGATACCTTCAGTGTAGAAACACCCCCCCCCCTTTTTCTACCTAATCAGTACATCACCTTCTTCAAAATACAGCTCTCATGCTGCCTTATTCCCTGTAGTTTCTGCATTTCTCAACTCTTGCTTCATATCCATTTTCAGGGGGATATGAAGCAAGAGTTCATTTGCTGACATCTTATTGACTTTGAGGTGTTTGTCATATCTCCCCGTTACTCTACCTAATACATGTTTAGTTCCATGAGATGAAAAACAGATCCTCATTTCTTTCATCTCCACATACCCATTCTTATCAGACTATCTAGACAATCATGATTTATTTAACCATTTATTGAATCAATGCTTACTAAAAATGTGCTAGTTACCAGGAAACAGCAGAAAGTCAGACATAGACCTCCACCCTCAAAGAACTTCAGTCTAGAGCCCAAGGAATGTGTTAACTGGCTGCCTACAGAATGTAGTGAGCTTAATATCAAGGATGAATTATAGATAATTAAAAAATAAGACAAAAACTTTTCTCCCCAGAGTACCTTTTCCTAGATTATCAGGAACTTCACATTGACCTGAATGATTTTAAGAAAGCATTGATTTTTTTACAGAGTCTCACCACAGAGAGTTTTTCATAAATGCATCTGGGATAGTCTGACATAGTTTTATATTTTAGCGATTTTCTTGTCACTTTCTTGACAAGAAAGTCATGAACTTTCTGATAGTTAAGTCAAATGGGAAAGGATGCATATTAAAAAGACAAGCATAGGAAAATTTAACAATGTATAAAGATTCATGTATGACTTTATATTTTGCCTGAGTGCACAGTAACAGGATCTCAAAGTACAACTTGCAAAATAATAAAATTATGCACTTTAAATAAACAAATAATTTGATGGTATAATTGAAGATAGTTCCAAGCACTCTAGTCTGCCCATAAACTATTCAGCTTTAGAAAATCTAGTAAGAGTGTGGAAGAGGATAGTCTACACTCGTCAGAAAATCTGTAAATCAATTAATTACTAACAAATCCAGCTCTGGGTAATGAGAAATCCTTTGACAACTTCGTAATGGACATTTGATAAAAGTGCACTTTGTTGAGTTTTGGAAAACTTCTCATTTGAAATAATTAAAAATAAATTAAATCCAGATAAGTAGAATGTATATAAAAAATCAGTTAATCCTAAGTAAGGTGAATTCTATTACAGTTTTGTTTTTGATATATACAGAAGAAAGAAGAGTAGCAATGAAAGTAGTGATATTTATTTGCTTTTAGTTTTAATGAAATCATTTCAACTCACCTAGTATTTTCATTAAAATAATTTTCTCAGAAGTACCTGGTTTCTAAGAATTGGTCCAGTTAGCATACTTTTCACTTAAAACCTATTTAATAAGATGTTAATTCCACTCAAAATGTGAACCTATTTATCAAAGAGAATTAGAACTGAATGACAAGAAGGTAGCAAGGGAATCGCAGGACATCAGGAATGTAGTGGGGTGGAGGTGGTTTTCATAACAGATCTCAGAAAGAAAAGCTGCAGTCACTGGTGAGACCTCCTTTAGGAAATGCAGCAGCCAGCCCGAGTCCTTGATCTTCTGCCAACATGTACTAAGGAAACTTGCCACATCTGAATCTCAGATTGCTGTATCTCTCAGGGCTGTTATCACTGCAAATGCTGGCAAATGTTCCTGACATAAAACAATAGGAATTCTGCTGTCATTTCTGCATTAGCAAGTCATAAAGCTGTAAAGAAACCCAAGTTGATGTGTTTTATCAAGTGCATAGGAGAAAATAAGACACAATAAAGAGCAAATAATGGACCTTCAAAGCAAGATTCATGCCCATATTCCTGGTACCTAACAATGACAGACTGGTAATCAGTGATTTGAAAATAGTAGCAGCAGCAGCAGCAGCAATAGTAATAGTGGTGGTAGTGGTAGTAGTAATAAATTTTAAAATAAGAAAACAGCCCAATCAAAAAAATGGATGGAAATATAGTTAAGTATTTCTCCATAAAAGACATACAGATGACCAACAATAACATGAAAAATGCTCATCATTACTTATTATCAGGGGAATGTTGGATCAAAACCACAATGAGACCACCTCATGCCTGTGAGAATGGCCCATATCAAAAAGACCAGAAACAAGTGTTGGCAAGAGTGTGGGAAAAAGATTCCTGTTGACACTATTAGTGGAAATGTAGACTTGTAGACTAGCCCAGTCTTTATGGAAAACAGTACAAAGCTTTCTCAAAACATTAAAAATGGGGCCCTCCCTGGTGGCGCAGTGGGTTAAAGCACAAAACAAAGAAGCTTAAGCCACTTCCGCATGAGTTCAATCGATCCCCGCCTGCCCTGGAGGGGATCCACATGGTGCTGCAGACCTCTCCTGACCCACCTGCTGCTCCCCTCAGCAGTGTGCTTGTCAATCTGCCTGCTCTGTACCCCACTCTTCTGGTGAATCCTCTCACCCTCCGCATCTCTGGCCTGTACCCCAGTTCTGTATGAATAAATAAATCTTTAAAAAAAATTAAAAATGGATCTATAGCATGTTCCAACAGTTCCTCTCCTATGTGTTCACTGGAAGAAAACAAAAACCGTTAATTCGAAGAAAGATATGCACACCTATGTTCATTTTAGCACTATTTACAATGGTTAACCTGTGGGAACATAGGTATCCAAGAACAGATGAATAGGTTAAGAAGATGTGGCATACATACAGTGAAATACTACCAGCTATTTTAAAAAAAGAGGAACTTTTATCATTTGTGACAACACAGTGAAAGTGGAAGCATTATGCTAAGTGAAATAAGTCACAAAGAGAAATTATTTCATATGTAGACCACAAAGAAACAAAGCAAAAATAGACAAAACAAACAAACAAAAACCTTAACATCTGACGATAAAAGTCAGGCCACCAGAAGGGAAGCATGGAGGGATGGGAGCAATGGGCGAGGGAACCTAATGGACGGACCAAAGTGGAAGATTATTGGGGTTTTGGTGGAAGGCTTAGTGTGATAATACCTTCAGAGATGTGTGAACATATATCCCTAGAACATATACACTATGTAAATCAGTGTTACCTCTATAAATATGATTTAAATTTTTGATTTAATGTTTAAAAAATCAAGATCAAAAATATAATTGCCAAAACTTAAAAGAATTATGTAAGATGCTTTTATAGGTTATAATCCAATAAACAGCCTTATATCCCTGGGGGATTTTTCATCACCACTCCCTCTTTCTTTTGGAAAGAATCTTATCATTTCCACACCCAACTAAGCAAAGCTGGTATCTGAGGACAATTGCCTTGAAACCTGAAGTTCCTAAATTATTACACCCTGTAGAGAAAGTATAGCAATTCTCCATGGAAATATGGGGAGATGCAAAGCACTACACCAGAGACCTCTCTCTGAGCTTCTTAAAAGGAAAGACAAGATTTAAGGAATAAATTCTAATTGCTGGTGGCTCTTTCTTTGTTTTAATTGCTTCTTGGCTCTCTATGTATTCCAAAGCACCACCCTGTGTCTGTCACAGATGATCTCAGACCTTCTAAGCTTTGTCTCCATTTTTATACAAAATTGTCATCTAGGAATTATGAGTTTCATATTTTTTAATGGAGTTTAAAACAAGTCGTGGAAGAATGTCACAATTGCCTAATTTTTTTTATCTGTGTTATCTAACTTATTAGATGAATGATTTAACTAAAGATGAAAATAATATAGTCAAGACAAAGTAAAATTTCACTTATAAATTACTGTAATATGTATATATACATACAGCACATTTGGGTTCCAACTGAATTCTTTATAACAAATTCACTATATTACCATAACATTTTTACTTTTCTAGAACTACAATATAATCTCCAAACTCCTTAAGGCATAATTAGCAAACTCTTTCCAGAAGTGAAGTGTTTTAGCAAAACTTGTATTATAAACTACATGTTTTAAACCAGCCTCTCTCTTAGAAAAATTGAATCTTTTGTGTTTTGAAATTTTTCATGAAAGTATTATACATTTATATTAGCCTGTAATTTGGGAAAAAAACAGCAACAGGGAATGCCTAATACACTAAGGTCTCATTTATATCTTGTTTTTGGAGAGGCTTTCAGAGATTTGTCAATAGAAATTATCTTAAATACAATATATCTGGTGAGGGGAAAGGTATCATATAACTTATTTACATTTTATTTATAATACCCAGGGAAGGATTCATTCTTGCCAGGGCATGGGGTGATGATCAATTAAGGCCTGAACTGTATCTGAAGTGTTCCATTTTTTTTTTTTTTTAAGATTTATTTATTTATTCATGTAGAACTGGGGAACAGGCCAGAGATGCGGAGGGTGAGAGGCTTCACCAGAGACAGAGTGAGGAGCAGAGCAGGCAGATCAATGAAGTACACTGCTGAGGGGAGCAGCGGGCGGGTCAGGAGAGGTCTGCCATGCCATGTAGATCTCCTCCGGGGCAGGCGGGGATCGAACTCATGCGGAAGTGGCTTTAGCTTCTTAGTACTGTGCTTTAACCCACTGCGCCACCAGGGAGGGCCAGTGTTCCATTTCTTAACAAGCTAAAGGCTGAGCTGAGGCAAGCATGACAAAATGGCAGCATTTGTTAAAACTAAGTGCTACACACTGGCATCTATAATTATTTTCTTGATACTTGAAATAAAAACATTTCTAATATAAGAGTCGTCAATGTTGTAAGGATACAATGGAAACTTATTTTCTTTAAGGAATGTATGATAGCAAAATCTTCCCAACACCGGCAAACTCTTTCTACCTGGCATGTCTCTTCCAGACATAGATGAGTGTTCTGCAGGGACACACAACTGCAGAGCTGACCAGATGTGCATCAATTTGCGGGGCTCCTTCACTTGTCAGTGCCGTCCCGGCTATCAGAAGAGAGGAGAGCAGTGTGTAGGTAAGACCGAGGAGCTGTAAGTGAGAATTTTTTTGAGCATTTTCATGTTTAAATCTCTGGCAATCACAACAAAGCGCCCTTCTTTATTTGGAGAGTAGTAACCAGCAACGGTTTTTTCTTACAGTGACTACCAATTCATTTTCCAAATGAACTAGAAACAATGAACCTTAAAAGATCGAACGTATTTTGGGTATCAAAGTATTGTTTATATGTTAGCTGAAGAGAAGCAGAAGTTTGGTATGTGAATGTGAACACAAAAGAAACCAAGAAAATGATTTTTAATTAGTTCTTTGAGGGTCATAGCAGTAAAACATTGATATATGAGGTTCACTGACTGGCTCATTGGATAGCATAACTTACAGGGCACTTGGTGAGGTTCAGCTCCCAACTCTGCTCTTGATGCACTTTGAGTCCTTGGGAAGATTAAATTCTCTGCATCCCACTCTTTCCTTGAGTACTAACCACAGCCACAGGAACCCAAGTGTGGGAGAAACAGTCCTGCTCTTGGGCTGAACAGTCGTCGGTTCTTGTTACACAACGAGTTAACAGACTTATCCTGAACATTCTTTATGTTCAAGTGGGTGTAGTGTAGATAACATTTGAGCAAACCACCTAAGTAATGAGGGGTAAACCATGTTAATGTCATGATCAGTTATTACCATTATCAGTCATTTCATTATTCAAATTAAATCAAATATATGTTGCAGCTTATTAATAATATCTCACACTTATTTTAAACAAATTTATGTGATCTGCCTAAAAATTCTGCCACATTGTTATATTATTGCTTACAAAAGATAAAAGGGAAGCTCCCAGAAGTTAAGACCATGCTAGGAACTACCAGGAGAAAGAGTCAAACTCAGGTCACCAAGAAACACACTGGCTCCCACACTTTTAGTTAGTAAAGTACCAGGAGAGCTCAGCAAAAGTTGGTTTGGTTTGGTTTTATACCATAATACAGTGTCACTCTGTCATGTTAGATCATAACATGCATAATTGTCTGAAATACACATCATGGTGGTGCTGTCGCAAAGCATGGACTCACAAATTAATTGTATTATGCTTCTAAAAGTTACTTCTACTCTACAAGTTCTCAGTTGAGCATTTCATAGTTGGGAATACTAATATGAGAAAGACAGTTTGGAACACTTTATCAATATGTCAGAAGAACACTAACTAGAATAATGTGGTTAGCATCTCTCTCCCCCCCCCATTTGATTCTCACAAAAACTCCCTAAGATACACACAGCAATATTACTGTCCACATTTTACAGAAGAAAAAATGACACTGAATGTGTAAGTGATTTCACCAAGGCAGCAGTCCACGCCCCCATCTCTTAGTTTTAAACTGCACCACTTAATTCTCCCACTTCTATCATTACCAATAAGTTTTTAGATCCCTAAACTGACATTCTCATTTATATGCAAAATAGATTTAAATTCATTTCTCTTTTTAAGTCTCAACTCACCAACCAGGTTTATGATGTCTTGATTTTTTTTTTCAAAGATTTATTTATTTTATGCATACACAACTGTGGCACAAGCCAGAGGTGCAGGGGAGGTGAGCTGATTCACCAGAGACAGAGCGGGGAGCAGAACAGGCAGGTCGAAGAAGTACACTGCTGAGGGGAGCAGCGGGCGGGTCAGGAGAGGTCTGCCTTGCCATGTGGAGGCTCCAACTTGCGCTGAAGTGCCTGGGCTAGCTTGCAGTGCTGCATCCTAATCCATTGTGCCACCAGGGAGGGCCGATGTCTTGATTTTTAACATCTCAGTTAACTGTAGCATGCAGATCAAAGTGAATATAAAACTTAATTTTAGTCAAAAGAAAACTGAGAAAAATAGGACTACTTTTAAAATCAGGTTTCTCCAGATAGGTTTTTAGTAATGCTTTGCTGAAAATTGAGAGCAAATAGTTGCAAGAAGATTCAATAACTTGGTCCTCTCTGTGTGTCTGCCTGATGACCTAGACATAGATGAATGCACCGTGCCTCCATACTGTCATCAAAGATGTGTGAATACACCAGGATCGTTTTACTGCCAGTGCAGTCCTGGGTTTCAGTTGGCAGCAAACAACTATACCTGTGTAGGTAAGCCTTTTGGGAACTGCCATTCTGACTAACTGATATCTCTCTTTAAAAAAAACAAAGCCCAAGCCATGGTACAGTATCTCCAGTTTTCTAGGTTCTTGAGTGAACTGGTTTCCAGCAACATCCTGTATGAAACTGAAAAGACAGTAACCAGTCTGTTTGTTAAATTATGTCAAGATGTGAATGGCAAACTTTTAAAACTGTGGTTATAATTCTCTTTGTGTGTATGTCAAAAAATTAAAAACTGTAAATCAACAGATATATATCCACCAATCAGTCAATACTGTGTGATATATACCTTTTGCTGAAGGGGCAAAAGGATTACTGCATGTTCAAATACATAAACTTTCCACCAAAAGTACATCTGATTTGCTCATGCTGCTTTTCCTCTTTCGCACTATAGTGTCATGGCACACAATTGTAAGATTAGCATAACACGGAAAGAATCTAGCGCAAGGAAAATACCTTTTCACAGTATTTTCAGTGCCTGAGAGCATTGCAAAACTCTGTATGGGTCTCAAAGGTTTATGTTATAATTGTAATGGAATTTAACAGAACCCATTCAAAAAGTAATAAATAGCTCAGATAAATCTTCACTACAGCATGCTGAGAGGCCATATCACTATGAGTATCATATGTCAATTATTTATAGACTTGGCATTTTGCATCTGTGCAACAGTAAAAGAAATAGATACTGAACTGTGTATTTATTAAAACATTAAATTATTTGAGAGAGTAACTCACAGGAAAAAAAATGTCTTGGAATTTTAAAAAGAAGTAGATGACAAACATTTGAAGTTTTTCCAACAGTTGTGAAACCTGAGTGGATGGTCTCCAACGAGCTTCTGCTGAGCAAAGTATCCAGCTAAGGAATTACTCACTTATCATCAGATGACATAGTTAGAAAAAAGTAAGGATTTTTAAAGATATAGATATAAATGTTTATAACCTTTCTTTTTAGACATAAATGAATGTGATGCCAGCAACCAGTGTGCTCAGCAATGCTACAACATTCTTGGTTCCTTCATCTGCCAATGTAATCAAGGATATGAGCTGAGCAGTGACAGGATCAATTGTGAAGGTAAATATCTTCCAATTAGTTTGTAATATGAGCCCAATTCACATGATTTCTGTTGCTTTATCAGATTGTTTAGCTGTTTATAAAACACATTTTCATGTATAGTAATTCTGTTCTGAAATTCAATTATTTTCATTCAATTGTAACACTGACCTTTTAGAATATTATGAAGAGAAAGGTCAGGAAACAAAATAACTGAAGTGTTGGCTTTATTAGAAAGGGTTCTCTTGGTGTCTTGCTTCTCATTATATTCACTGGCCAATAGAAGGATCTGGAGATTTGTGAGAAATGAGGATTCTTAGTCCAGATCTCCTGAGTCAGGTTCTACATCTAACAAGAACTCCATTGACTGGTGTGTACATTATCCAAGTTTAAGTAAAGGTGACTGCCTGTCAAAACATTAGAGCAGAACCTAAGAAATCTGGTCCCCAACCTTGTTCCCTCCACCGGGTGACTTCGCTACATTTTTTGAAGTTGCTTCAGTTTTAATTTCCACAAAAATAAAAGCAGGGAAGGGATGACTTTCAGAGTCCATTGCTTGTACACATTCCTCTGTGTTAATTAAAACTGCAAAAGACACCCCAAGGAGAACACCATTGATTCTTGATGTCCCTTTCTTCCTCCTGGGTCCCTCAAGCTCATACCTGGAGCCTCAAAGCTTATATCCTCCCCAGAGTAGCCACACACGATAATACCTGGCTCAGAATCAAAAGGGGCTGCCTCTGTCACCTAAAGTCAGACCCTTCCAGGGAATTACCTCTGGAAGTTAGCACAGGGATGGAACTTGGAGTTCAAAGTTGGATGAATTTGGTAACAGAACCACCCAATTTATGAAAAGGCAAATGTGAATCTTCATCACGGGTGGGTTTGTAGATCCCAATATGAAGAGCATCAACCACATGCCGGTTCATTCTCCCTGCTCAACTTGTACAGTTAGGCTCAGGACTTGTCAAACTGTCAGCAATAATGGAGTAAAGCTGATGATAAGAAAAACTCTTCATGCTATGAAGTTCTAGATAAAATGAACAGATTATTATTAGGATTTACCTTGAGACTCTTAGAAAGTACTGTATTTCTGTTACAGTACTTAGAAAGTACTGTATTTAGTGTTTTTACTCACTCACCTTTTCTGAAATAACATTACCAAAGCCATGACAAAGCCGTGACATACAAGTTTTTCAACTCTGTGTCCTTGCTCTGGTCTGATTCAACAGATATTGATGAATGCAGAACCTCAAGCTACCTTTGTCAATATCAATGTGTCAATGAACCTGGGAAATTCTCATGCATGTGCCCACAGGGGTATCAAGTGGTGAGAAGTAGAACATGTCAGGGTAAGTTTGTTGTTTTCTTACCTGCTAAGTGTTCAGTTTTAACCAGTAAGAGAAAGGAGGATATTTATTATAGGACTTTCTATCATAGACTTTTATTTTTGCACCTGAAATACGTAATGCGAGCACAGCTTCATGAGATGTGCTTATCTCAGAAAGAAGGTATTTTCCACATTAATGGTGACTTCCCTTTATATTTAAAGTAGTGATTTTTCTTTCTTAAATATAAGTAACTTTAGGGTCCTCTTTGGTGGCACAGCAGGTTAGGACACAGCACTGCAAGCTGGTCGCAGCCACTTCTGTGCAAGTTCGATCCCTGGCCCGGAGGTGACCCACATGGCATGGCAGACCTCTCCTGATCTGCCCACTGCTCCCCTCAGCAGGGTACTTCATCGATCTGCCTGTTCTGCTCCCCACTCTGTCTCTGGTGAAGCCTTTTCCCATCCCTACACTTCTGGCTTGTATCCCAGTTCTGTTCATAAATTAAAAAATATTTTTAAAAATATATAAATAACTTTAATAAAATATTGATATCTCCTTTATATAGTCAATATAATCTTTATAATATACAACTTCTAATCATCTACTAGAAAAGATTCAATTATTAAAATATTTCACTATAAATTTGAGTGTAGACCATAAGTTTAATATGTGAGGCAGATCTATTTCAAACCACTCTTAATTCTCTAAAATACCAAAATTTTATGATAAATGATAGCTTAGGTGCTGAGAAAATCTGCTTCAAATATTAATCCAAAATAGTTATCCTTGGGTCCAGTTTACAAACAACGTTGAGATGATCTTCACATAGATTGAAGAAACAGCTATCCACGTGGTGTGATTTCATAGTCTGCTTAAAGGTCAAAAATGTCTATTTTCTCCTCCTGACCTCCTATTCTGCATGTAGATTAAAATTTCTTTAACAAGAAATAGCGTGCTTGGTTAAAACAAACAAAAAATGTAATCCTGGGAAACCTAGGGTAAACATTGACATCAAGAATGAGAGAACCATGAAAAAAAAATCACTAAACTTGAAAATAGAGACTCTGTTCGAGTCCTAACTATGCTGTATTTTAAAGACACAATCTTGAGCTAATTATCAAACTTATCTGAGACTTAGCACTTAGAAAAGGGAATTGTGGAAATAAAATAAAATAACATACCCCATAATGACTTATAAATTATAAGCCTGTATAGTTCAAGATGCTTTTATGAAATATGCCTAGCAATGTAAATGATGAGTAACAAATCTTCTGTAAGAATCCATATGAGTCAGGAATGAGAAAAGTCACACAAGGCAGCAAAGTCTATTAAGAAAAGAAAGGATCAAGAAAAGGCCACGTTGGGGATTCTCAGGCTAATGATTTTACAGGAAAATATTAACTCAGAGGGAGCATCTATGACCTAGGATTTATGCTGTGCCAGTGATCATTTGACTAGATTCCAGTCACAAAAAATGAACATAATCAGAATGTTTGTGCTCAATCTTGATATCCCTTTCAAGGTTACTCAAGACTTTGTAATGTTAATTGTGGGAAAACATGGCATTCCAATGGTTTTATTTTCTGAAACCTAATTGAGACTTTTAATATGAATATTACAAGTAGGAAAATATTAGCCAGTGGGATAGTTTAACAAATTTCCCTGAAGTCCTAAAAAAAAGCAAGAAAACAATCTATGCATTTATGATCATAAATTAATTTGCTATTCTGCAATAGACAGAAGCAAATTAACAAACAGTGGACTTTTACCTGCCTGGCCTTTATATCTGGAAGCAATTATATCTGTTATAATTAAAGGTAGAAATGCAATGGAATTGTAAATAGGTGATTCATAAATATATCCTGAGATAACACAGCTTCAGAAAGGTTGGTTAAGTCAAAACATTTCTGTGAAAAAACAAATTCATTTAAGGCACAAAGCAATTGGTTTCTCCCATATAAATCATTCCTCCCAACCTTGTCTACAAACTAATTCTTGTCTTCATTCAAAAAGCTTATTTTGGAAATAAAAAACTGTTTCCATAGTCTTAAAAAGATTAACATTCTGGGGGTGAGAAACAGAGTCAGAGAATACCAAATCATGAAATACTTTAATACTATGAATTTCCGTAAAACGTTCCTGAATGATTATGATGCTGATTTTGCTAGGTTTGAAATTATTATAAGTAAAAATATAAATTATTATATAAAATTTCTTTTGCTGTTGTTGGCTTCCATATAAGCCAGTCTCTTTTTTTTTTTCTTGCAACTAAATAGTATTTTTATTTTTTAAAAAAATGGGAAAATACTGAAGGGATAAGTCAGTTGTGATTTCTTCTGAAGATTCTTAAGCTGTTTCTTGAATTATAGCCAGTGCAAAAGAAGCTACAAGCTTTTCTAATCTCTTCTTGAGTTTCAGATAGCTTTAACCAGTTTGGAAGCTAAGAGAAAACTTTTTGCTCCAAATACAAGGCCAGAAATTACTGCCACTTAAGAGGATGTAGTGCCTTGAAGTGGAAGTATGCCTGTGCACCATCACCACAACCCCTGGGCTCTCGCCTCCCTCTCCCAAACCCTCTCCCTCCATTTCCTCTGCAGAGTGCCTTCAATCCATAGCTGCGTGTTTATTTTAGTTTTGCTGTGTTGTGTGAAAAGCAACGTGTTCTCAGTGCATTATTGGTAGGTGGTGAAAAAGTTTTAAAGAGATGGGTATTTAACCCTTGCCTCAAGAAGTCTCTAAGCTAGTAGAAGAATTAAGACACAGAGAGTTCAATAAAACAAAACAGAAAGTAATAAAGGCCCAATGAAGAGGACCTTGAGATGAGAATTCAGATGATATCCCAACAACTAGGTAATATCTGGCTTGTAGCAAGAATGCAATAAATTACTGATGGAAGGAGTAAATTAATGAACGAAAATATCAGACTTGTGAATAGATCCATTCAGAAAAGATTTACATTAGATAAAATCTAAAGCACTATTCAAATGTAGGAGATACACATAGATAAGTATGTGGATATTAATAAAAATTTTGTTGTTGCTGTAAATGGAGTAGCTTTAGTGCAGCTGTTCTATCATATGTCATCTGGGAGCTCCTTATTTCCAAATCTAAAATCAGTCTTTGTCCAGCCTGGTTAATCAATAATCCTACTTGAGATCCTTTCCCACTGTGATTTCCTTGGTCTGTCTTTCCCTAGATTGCTTCTCACTACTGACAGCCCCTTCCTCAAGTGTGCTTATCCCAGTCTTTAAATATGTGTTACAAGGTGGAATGCTTTATAACTTCACCTCCTGTGTTGTGCTTCCTCTGGAGAGTACAAGAGAATCCCAGAGCATCAACTATCCACCAACATGCTACTGCTACTGCCTATTAAAATCACATCTAGACTCTACATCTCTTCTAGGCACCTGAACCAAACAAAAACTACCTTCTCCATAGTTTTCTGCTGCTTTCTCAGCCCCCCAACCATGAAAAAAAAAATCTAAACATCACCCATCAAGGTCAATTTGGGATGCCTCCTCCCCTTCTTTCAGCCTTTCCCAATCCCCCTGGCATAATTATTCAGTCCCGCTTCTAATGTTACAGTACACTTATCTATCTCTTTTATGAATTCCATTTTATTTTATAATTAATGATTATCTTATCTATAGTCCTATATAGTCTGTAATCTCTCTAGAGATGAGGAGTGGTGTCTTTCAGTTGTATAAAAGCAGGTTCAGTGGCTCGAATTTAGTTTTTAATTCAATAGATGAACAATAGACACTTAATAAAATATGAATTGACACATATTAATCTTTCTAGAATAGCTAAGCTACATTTGAATTAAATGCAGTGAACTCAGTTTCCACACATCTTGTATGTAGGCAAATTGAATACTCCAGATTCCCACACACCTCCTTCCTTGCCACCCTGAATCTGTCACTTTCACAATTTACTCAGACCTTACATCTTTACAGACATAAATGAGTGTGAGACCACAAATGAATGCCGGGAAGATGAAATGTGTTGGAATTACCATGGCGGCTTCCGTTGTTACCCAAGGAATCCTTGTCAAGAGCCTTACGTTCTAACATCAGAGAAGTAAGAAAAACCAGAACTTTTTGAAACTGGGAAAATTTTAGTCTTGCCAAGCTAAAGTGGGCAATACTTTTGTCTCTGCAGCCGATGTGTTTGCCCTGTCTCGAATGCTGTGTGCCGAGAACTCCCCCAGTCCATCGTGTACAAGTACATGAGCATCCGGTCTGACAGGTCGGTGCCATCAGACATCTTCCAGATACAAGCCACAACCATTTATGCCAACACTATCAATACTTTTCGGATTAAATCTGGAAATGAAAATGGAGAGTTCTATCTAAGAGTAAGTATCCTTAGGGCAGCTTGTTGAGAAAGATGCAAGTTATTGCATGTTATGGTTGATGTGATGTTTGGTAGTATTCCTATGGAAAGCTATATTTACACTTGATCTTGGCCAAAGGCTGAGAAGCAATGGGAAAGGTAACATTTACGAGTTTTTACGTGCAGACATTATGTGCACTATGTATGTCATTTTACACTCTTAGTAATACTGTCAGATGGATATTACTATTTTTTATATTTTTATGGAAAAGATGCAGGTTATATCTCTAAAATCACTCAGATGCCAGACTAAAGAGTTGCAGATTTGAATGTGACCTCCAAAACACAACCCTACATGCATGCACACACACATCAAATAGATACTGCAAATCAGTGAGTTATTTCATTGTACATAGAAAAGATTAGCGGTGAACATAATGTAATACATATACCTGTTGAATCTCAATGCACATCTGAAATTTATGTTATGTTGCAGTGTTATTTCGATTCCAAAAATTAATTTCAAAAAGATAATTATGGTGAAAAAATTAAATTACTATGAATTCCTTATTGCTACATTCATAAGATTGTTTATATTCACACCAAAACTAAAACCTAGGAGTCTCTAAGACATGATCCCAACCTCCTGTACCATGTAGCAATAGCTGTACCATTCGTGTAATCTTCCAGGTAATACAAGGTCCCTTTTGGGTGTGTTTTCCCTTTCTTTCAATGGCTTGATGAAACCTCTCTCTGATTTTGTTTCTTCACAGTGTCTCCTGGGTTATCACAGTGTCTTCCTCATACCTCTGCCTCTTTTCTTTAAGCTGGTTCTTAGTACCTTCCTGGCCCCTCCAGAGCTTCTGCCTACAGTGCCTCAGCCTCTAGGCCCTCAATGCAAGATCTCAAAAAGTTCATTTTAGGTTAAAATTCTAACATATTTTAAATACGTCTCACCACTTCATGTGAAAATGATGGCACCCCACCAAACATTTTGCAGGGTTACGGTAACTATTTCGCACTAAGGATGTTATTCATCCAGTTACAGTTTTCTCAAAACTCCTTTGGGCACTCTTCATTTTTAATCAGATTTTAAAGTCAATATTTCATTTTGAGAAATATGAAAAGTAAATTGGGAAATTCATCCTGTGGTAAAGTTTACAGATCTTTAATGTTTACACGTTTATTCTGTTCTTTGATATATTAAGTTCCCTTCCAACTCCAGAGTTATATGATGCTGTTTCTTTGCCAGTAAATTAGAAATGATTAATTTCTCATGACCAACTTCTGAAGAGAAAAACCCAACCCAAAAATAAAATCTATTACTACTTTTTTCTAATAACTAAGACTAAGCTTCTTTAACATTTTTATGCTTTAAATTTGAGATGTACTCAATACTTGTCAGAAGTTTACTCATGCTGTTCAGATAATACCAATTTAGGAATTCTATCCCAAGTAAATAACATTATGTGTAGCCCGTGGCAATAAAATAAGTTCACCTCAAAATCTTCTTTAAAAATATTTTCCATTTGAATCCTTAAGAAAATAAAATTTTCTAGCTGAATTGCACAAATAGTTAAACAAAACTCCAGAAGGGTTTTTTCTTTCTAATAAAATGACACTTTAAAGGTTTTTATTATTCATATCTGTTCATTTTATCAACTTGATATTTTCACACATAAGTACAGTGTTTTTCTCAAGTGAAATACTCTTTTCTCATGAATGATATAAAAATGCTGATTTTAATAATCCCAGAGTTAAATATTAAATTATTTGGAACAAACAAAATAAAACTATTTAAGATGAGTAGACATTTTGACTGTCTTATCTCATAGCTCAATAAATAGTTAGACAAAATACTACATTTACTCTAATTGTGCAGAAGTCATTTAAGGAATAAGAATAAGTCAGCAGGTCTTAATTAATTGCACTTCAATATGTTTAGCTCCCTTTTAGGTGCATGTAATACATGGTGCCTTATTTCAAGGAGTTTAAATATTACTATGTGACACAAGTTAACATTTATAAAAAATAAGGAAGAATTTTTTTTGTTTTAATGTTATGATCCATGAGATAGGAGAATTAATATGGACTGAGACATTCAAAAATTCTTGGTGGCCATGAGACTGAACCTGATTCTTCAGAAGATCTGTGAACAAAGGATTCTGTTTATTTTCTTTTTGTGAGAGTACTGAGAAAATCTTCCTTAGAAAAGGAAACATTGCAAAGAAATAGTATGTGAAATTGGAGGTAGAATACATTGCTTCTTTTTCCCTCCCAATTTCTAGCCTCCATTACTGAGTTTTATATTTCTTCATAGTCCTTAGCTTCACCTTGCATAGATTTCATTGGTCTGGGTTGCCCACCAATTTATTATACCATAAGTATAATAAGAGCAGATGCTTTACCTGTCTGTTCCATCCACCACCATCAAATGGTTCCTGACCCAAGCAGATGTCCAAAGAATATTCTAAATGAATTATTTAATTTATTCGATACTTTCAAGGTATTACTGTTACCTACAATCATCGCTAATTGGACAAGCACCATATTAGATCCTAGAGATACAGCAATTAATTTCTGCCCCAGTGAAGCTTATCATCCAGTCATTGAGCAAGTTCTCACAAGACTACTGAGCATTACCACTGAGTATTGCAAGTTGTTCCTGAATGTATAGTAAGTTAACCTAAGTAAGAAAGAAATGACCTGGAAGCCTCCTGGAAGAAGTGGCTTTACGCGAAAGGACAAACTAAAGAATAGCAAATAGAAGGGCAAGAAAGTGAATAAATTAGTCTCAAATTCTAAATACTAGAGTTGAAGTAGCTTGAGAGAAGCCTGGGGAGATGAGCTATATCTAGATCATGCAATGCCTCACAAACTTTACTAAGGTTTCAGGTAGAAGAAGTTGCTATCTGATTTTTCATATTAAATAGATGACTAGGTATGCAATGGAGCCTAGATTGGGATAAGCAAGAATACAAATGAAAAGACGAGTCAGTCATTCAGGAGATGTCTTATCAGGGTAGCAGTTGTGAGTCTAAAACCATGAGCAGATTTATGAAGGCACAGAGAAAACTACTGGACTGCTAACACATTTGCTATGGGGAGATGAAGAAGAAAGCATCGATGATAGCCCCAAAGTTTCTGTTTTGAGCAACAGTAAATGGTGTTGTCATTTGATGAGATAGGGAAGAAGAAATCAGTATGCCAAGTTCAGCTTCAATATAGTGAGTTTTGGTCCCCATGAGATATCCAAGTAAAGATGAGTAGAGAGTGGGATATGTAGACTTGGAACTCAAAATTCAGATCTTCATGTAGCTGGCAAATATGTGACAATTGAAGCCATGGCAGGAGATGAAATCACTCAAAGAGAATGCACAGGGTGTAAGTGAGATCATTCAGAAAAATAAGACCTGAGATAAGGAGGGAATAAATTATGAAGAATTTTGTCATAACTTGGACTTTGTTTTCATTCAGAACAGTTCTGCCTCAGAATTTTAGTCATCAGTAATCCATTCAATCTCACTCTCTCTTGCTCTCTCTCTCTCTCACCCTCACTCTTACTCTATCTTCACCCTTCAAGTAATGTTAGTACCTCTATTTTCATCTAATCCATCATTATGTGGTTGTCTTTGCATTAGTCCATTTCCAACATTTCAACTCCCTGTCCAGCAACCCTGATTCAATCCCACTTTCCATATCTCTTAAATTATCCATATCTCTTAGATTATCTATATCCATTTCACATCCAGTCTGGCAGCATAGATGGACAGCACTGTATATAAATCTCCAACTTCTCTCTTCTCCCTTTCCCATCAAGTTTCTTAAAGCATGGTCTGCAATGATAGTTTCTATTTTTAATTCCTGGTCATTCCTCTGTTTTCTGTTCTACTACCCTACTGAAGTTGCTCCAGAAAAGTCATAAACAGAATCCACACTATCAAATTCAGAGAGCAGTTTTAGTTCCAGTCATGCTCAGCCAACCTGCTCTGTTGGATACTGTTAACCACCCATATGTTTTCCATTTAATAATCACCTCCTTCAGAGGTGAAGTCACTAAATCGTGAACCTGAAGATTCTCCTCTGGCCATACCTTAAATGCTAACCTGTACCATACCCAGCCTTTTATACATTTTCTCCCTTGATTTAATGTACGGTCATTGAAGTAATTGCTAAATTCTAATCCATTGCCTCTATCCCTGCCCTCTCCTTGACATTAGATTCAAACATCTAATACCTGCCCCTTCACTCTCCAACACCTTTCATATCCTCTTCACCTAAATGGAACTGCAGTCAGTTATTCTGAATATACTTCATTCCCAAACTTTCATTTACCCTAGGGCATTCACAAACCTCCCTTAATCTGATGAATCTATATATCGTGAATAACCCCATATATCTTAGTATTCACCACACTCTATTGAAATTAATTATTTACAAGTATTTTCACCTACTAAGAATGTAAACAGGCCCTCCCTGGTGGCGGAACGAGTTAGGACTCAGCACTGCAAGCTAGCCACAGCCGCTTCAGTATGAGTTCAGTTCCCCCCAGAGGTGACCTGCGTGGCGCAGCAGACCTCTCCTGACCCACCCATTGCTCCCCTCAGCAGTGTACTCTATCAATCTGCCTGTTCTGCTCCTCACTGTCTCTGGTGAAGCCTCTCACCACCCCTGCACCTCTGGCCTGTTCCCCTCTGTCACCTATATATGCATAACTAAGTAAATCTTTTTTTAAAAAAGAATGTAAACAGATGTACAATGTTGAAAAGTGAAATGACAACTGTTTGCCAATTCAGAAATTATCTCACAGGAACTACAGATTCTCACAGGAACTACAGATTCTATAAAGATTAGAAGTACTACTCCATAGCGGCATTAGAGAAATATTAAGAGAGAAAACAAAGAATGAGTCCTTGTAAGTTGCAACTATAACTATGTGTGAACAGGAATAAGCCCCAATAGGTGTTGAAACCAACGATCCCACCTTCAAAATTCTTCCTCTAATTCTTACAGAAAACATATTCACAAATAATAGAATTTCTCATCCAAGAAAAAATATTTTCTTTCTCCTTTTCCTTTTATTTTAGCAAACAAGTCCTGTAAGCGCAATGCTTGTGCTGGTGAAATCACTATCAGGACCAAGAGAATACATCGTGGACTTGGAGATGCTAACAGTCAACAGTATAGGGACCTTCCGCACAAGCTCGGTGTTAAGATTGACAATAATAGTGGGGCCATTTTCATTTTAGTCTTTGAAGAGTCCACTATACGCATTTAAACCAGCCAAAGAATATTGTTACCTTAAAGTACTATTTTATTTATAGATATATCTAGTACATCTACATCTATATATTGTACACTCACCAATGATTCAAACATTTACACCATAGTATAAAATGAGTATTTAATCTGTAAAGATTCAAAGTTTTTCTTTCTAACCATATGTAAATTAGACATTAATACACTAAACTGGTCTTCTTCAATAGAGCTAAGCATACTCTGTCCAGTGAAACTTGGATTCTTTTCTGTAAAAGTGGGACCCAGCAATGATTATCTTCTGTGATGCTTAAGGAAACTTACTACGGCTCCACTGGTCTCATAAGGAGGCAGTGATTATAGTATTGAATAGCATGCAAGTTCCATAAATGAGTTTTTTAACTGCTTTGTAAGAAAATGGAAAAAAAGTCAATAAATATATATTTCTTATAAAATGAAGATCTTCCATATCTGTGTTGGTTTTTATTTTCATGATCTAAATGTCATTGTTTATTACTAGTAATAAATCATTCTTTTGTAATATGCTGGTTTCTGTGGGCTGTTTCAACTTTGTCAGAAATTTTCATTAGTAATGTAAAAAGAGTGAAAGAAATTCCCAAAAATGAATGAGCTAGATCCCAGGAAATTATTACATTCTAAAACCTACAGGGAAGAGATGAGAAAGCACTTTCTAAACCACATTGGAGTTGAACCAAAGAAGCAAACTCAGTATCTTAGTTAGTTTGAGCTGCTAAATCAAATATTGTAGCTTCGCTAACTTAGAGACTGGCAACCTAAAACCAGGGTGCCAGCTGGGCCAGATTCTGGTGAGTGCCCACTTCCAGTTCTACCATCAAACTGGGAGGTAGGATGTCAATATAGGAATTTCATAATATTCAGTAAATGTGATAGTATACCTCAGTTCAGGTCTTCTACAAAATGTGGAACAAAATCAAGAAGGCATTTAACCAAGGAAATTTTAACTTCTCAATAAAATTATAAAGTTTTACTAACTTGTAACTAAAATTCTTATCTTGATAGTCAATATTCACAGAGGAAAGAATTGTGCTGGTTTTTCTTCCTGGAATTCAGAGGGACAGTGAACTAAAGCAAATCACTCTTCCTCCAAATTCTATGAAAAGGCTTTATGTGTTCTTATTTGTTTGAAAAGCAACCACTTCACTTTGATGTATCATATTTTTTAAATAATTTCTTTAGAGGATCACTCATTATTAAGAGGTTGTTTTTAATGTAGTAAATGGCAGCCAATACAATTTTTGCATCTGAGGAAACTAGTTAAAGCTGCCAGAGCGTAAACAACCATTTTTTTTTCAAGTAATCTTGGAGAAAAGGAAACAAAGACTTAAAATCATGCCTCCAAAAAAGTATGCAGATAATTATCTTTTACATCCAGTTTCAAAGTATATATGAATAACAGCTGATATCATGGAACCTTCACCACTGAAACAAATATTTCTCAGAGTTGAGTAAATATGCAGTAATTGTCATAAAGTTCAACAGGAGAACCAATGAAAAAATAGAAAACTTCTTGTGTGAGTAAAGAATGATGGACTTTTTCAAGGTTAAAGGGGCATATAGACAGTGATGAGAGATCTAGGAAAGAAAGCAAAACACACCCAGCCACAACACAGGATGGTGGCGTGCATTCCTGCACTCCGTCTACATGATTACTTAGTCCAGATAAATTAAAATTTAACCTAAACTTTTCCATTTTTACTCAAGCTGATGATTTTTCTACTTGTGGACACAGTTCTCATCTCTGATTAGAAATGGGAGAATCAGGGCTCTCCCTGATGGCACAGCAGGAAAAAGCACAACACTAAGAAGCTAAAGCCACTTCAGTGTGAGTTCGATCCCCACCCAGGAGGTGATCCACATGGTGCATCAGAACTCTCCTGGCCCACCTGCTGTTCCCCTCAGCAGTGTACTTTGTCAGTCTGCCTGTTCTGATCCCCACTTCCCCGCTCACTCTCTCACTCTGGAGAATCCTCTCACCATCCCTGCACCTCTGTCTGGCCTGTACCCCAGCTCTGTGTGCATAAATAAATAAATCTCTTTAAAAAAAAAAGAAAGAAAGAAATGGTAGAATCAAAAAAAAAAAAGCCGATGGATTTCTCATTCATATAAGAAAGCAAGTTCTCACCTATAACTCCACAGGAGTTATAGAAATAGGAACTGCGCTGAAATATTTCCATGAAAGTCTTAGTCCTCTAATCCTTTTTAGTATTTTATTCTAAATAATATGTAATAGGAGAATATTTTTGCTCCTGTTTACTGACACTAACTGAAATATGATTACTCGGGTTAAACTGAAAGTTGTTTTACCTGTGAAAAAAATAGTCATGGATTCTCTCACTTCAAAGCATGCTCCCAGGAAAATACATATGACTTTTCTCAGTAAGCATCAGTACTGAGGACTGAACTAGTCATTTCTATCATTTGACCTTCTAATGCCTGAACCTGGGCTCTGACTGGACAGTTAGCTAGCCAAGTCTTCTTGAATATTAAGAATTCTCAAAAGGGGAATCACTTCCCTTAAACTGCCAAATTTTCCTCTTAGTTTCTTTTTGAACTTGTAGACTCCATCTTCTCCAAACATAAAGCCTTCTATTAAATATAACAGGATTCTAAACTTAGATGTCACCAGGTCAAACTATCTTATTTTTAAGGCTTCTTCAAAATCACAGTTTGTTGAGCAAAAGCTCTGCAACTAGAGTGCAGGTTTTATAACTTAGACCAAGGTTCTTTTCATTGGTTTTTAATCCAAATTTCATCATCAACAAGCAATCTCTGTCCTCCCTAGCTGCCGCCTGCAAAATACTCATCCTACACAGTGAACCAACCTGCTACTTAGAGTTGATACCTCATAGAGTCACAATGAAGTAACACAGATATAAACTAATTCTGATTTACCCTTTTAAGCATTAGCTGATTTGTTCACTTTTTAAAAATACCAGGGAGGGCCCTCTGTGGTGGCTCAATGGGTTAGGATGCAGCACTACAAGCTAGCCCCAGACACTTCAATGCAAGTTGGATCCCAGCACCTGGTATATCCACATGAGACAGCAGATCTCTCCTGCCTCACCCACTGCTCCCCTCAGCAGTGTACCTTGTTGATCTGCCTGTTCTGCTCCCACTCTGTCTCTGGCGAAGCCTCTCACCACCCTGGCCTGTACCCTAGTTCTGTATGTATTTAAAAAAAACTTTTTTTAAGTACCAGGGAGTCAAGAGAATTAATTGTGTCACATAAAATTCCCCTTAACAATAAAGGCTGGAAATCAAGGACCAAACACAAAGACTTTACTAAACTTGAAAAGACAGTAAATTCCAAAAGAAAGATCCAAATGGAAATTTCCATGTGGGAGACATGAGAAAAATGGTATCTCCTGTGTGGATTTCACGGAGATTCCAAGGAACAACTCAGAAAAATATATCCTAGCACTTGAAAGTTATAACACACAAGAATAGCAATGAAATAGTACCGATGAAATAATGAGGATATGTGGAATTTTATAGAGTGAATAAACCCAAAGTAGAGATCTGTTATTTCATTTTTAAGGTTAAACTTAGAAAAATTATCATAACAATAAAAATAGGGAAGTTCAAAGGGTAAATATTAGAATTATATAAGATGAATGAATTCTAGAGATCTGCTTGCTGTACAACATAGCTAACACTTAAAAACTGTGCACCTTAAAATTGTTAAGAGACACAGGGCAGAAAAGTGCACAAGGGACTATGGTGATGGTGTACAGGTGATTTAGTGGTGGGAATTCTATGGGGACTACACCTGTGAAAAGAAAACAAACCCTGAAAAAAAAATGAACAATGATGTAAAATATATGTAAGCAAATAAATAATTGTTAAGAGGCTAAATCTCACTCTAACAACTAACCCTTGAAAACTGACTATAAAATTAAAGTATCCAAAGAGAGAGGGAGTAGGAAAAGTATAGAAACACAAAGAGAAGGAAGTCCTCCCTGGTGATGCAGCGGGTTAAAGCACAGCACTGAGAAGCTAAAGCCACCTCAGCACGAGTTCGATCCCCGCCTGCCCCGGAAGTGATCCACATGGAATGGCAGATCTCTCCTGACCTGCCTGCTGCTCCCCTCAGCAGTGTACTTCTGTCAGTCGGCCTGTTCTGCTCTACTCTCTCTCTCTGGTGAATCCTCTCACTGCCCCTGCACCTCTGTCTGGCCTGTATCCCAGCTCTGTACGCATAAATAAATAAATCTTTAGAAAAGAAAAAGAGGAGGGGGAAGGAAGCATGATGGACTATTCTGGTGGCTACCTAGCAGAGGCAATAATTGATGGAACAGAAACCCACTGTTATCACAATGAAAAGAATCAATTCTTATTTAAATTAGAAAGAAATGTAGGTCTCATGTCATGTGTTCTTACCACTACAATAACAAAATAGAAACACAAGGAAGCTATTCTGAGACATGTTTGTAACCTCAGTTGTGGTGGTAGTATCACTGAAGCATGCATATGTCCAAACTCACCAAATTGTACAAAGCAAGCGTGTGCAGTTTTTGTATGTAAGTTAAACCTAAGTGAAGCATTTTAAAATGTATTTTAAGAGCAACAGTGGTGACAATGGACTGGGGCTAACTCTCTCCTGGTCCAGAAACTGTCCTTGGTATAAGGTAAGGGATTCGTGTAGAGATCATTGCCATTCCTTGGCACTGACTAGTAAACACGAGGTGGTTTTGAAGAGTCAAGCATTCTCACCTAAAGAAATCTCATATTAGTGGTCCAGAATAAGATAAAATACTATATATATATACATATATATATTTTAAGAATTTAGCCCTTCATAAGACTTTCAGTTTTTCATAATATGTTTATGAAAATTTAATATTTTTCATAATATGTTTATGAACGTTTAAATGAAGATAGCTAATAAGTAGGTTTTTTAAATTGTGATTTAGAAATGTAAATATTGGAAATCAGCTAGAAAACCCATCCCCATATGTGACAAATATATTCATCTATACCATTCTGCCTCAACAGGGAAACCTAAATGATGAAAATTGATACATTGTTCAATACACTAAAACCACCTGAACATATGCCAGTGGGATTATTTTTTGTGACTTTCACAAATACAAGTTTATTGTTGAATCTTGTTTCCAGGACTCCAAGCAGTTGCTTATGTCTTGAGAAGCTATGTATGCTTCTAACTTTCAAACTCTTTAAAAATGTAGAACAGCTGCTGGTCTGTTCATATGTTATGCATAAGAAGCCCACAAGGGACAAAGCCTCCATTAATATGTCGAATTATTTTTAACACGCTATATTTCTATCCTGAATCATCATTGCAGAAAGATGGCAAGTTTCCATCTTCCCAGCTGGGGGGAGCACCTGCAAAATACAAACCCAAACTGACACATCTGGTACCAAAAATCCAATCTTGTTTCATCTGGCCAG